TTTAATGTTGCTGATATGTTTACTAAAGCATTACCATGTGATAAGTTTAACATTTGTGTGAGATTGTTGCAGCTCAATAAAGGGTGATTGAAATAGGTTGAAATAGGTTGTTTGTCTTTGTAGCATGCTCTATGGGGTTGGTTTCTTGATAAATAGAAATCAAGGTGGAGATTGTTATAAATCAAGTTGGTTTCAATTTATTAATTAATTTAGCTTAATTTTCCTTGCTACCAATTTTTTTMTTATGTTAATTATTCTCTTTGTTGGGCCAAACAAGGTAAGCTCAATCCCTTTAGTTTTGTGTACCTTGCCCATTTACTTTTACTATTAGGTTTACCTTCCTTTTATCTAATAGTTTTATGTTGAGTGGCCTTATAAATAGAATAGGATGGGTTCTCTTTTGGGAGGGAGAAACCCTAGCCACCACTTGAAGCAAGAGAGAGAGATAGAGAAGAATCACGGCCACCCCGTCACCGTCGTCGTTGCCATGAGAGTTACAACTGCTGTTGTTTCCTTTATGAGCATCAACGGTATCGGTTCTTGAGGAGGTTTTCGACTTGTGTGTTGTAGCCGTGAGCGTCGGATCTCGGAGTGGTTGTCCATCCAACGTGCTACAACCACAAGAAGTCGAGATTGAGCAGTTTTTTGTGTAGATCTGTGCATTCCAAAGAGGGTTGAGGTGTGGGTGTTCAAGATCTGTGGTATTCTTGAACAAGAAGGAATTTCGGATTTGTGCCGTGGGTGTTCTTCGTTGGGTTCGAAGATCGAAAGGAGATCTACAAAGGTTGTATTTCTCCATTCTTTTTACTTTTCTTGCGAATCAATCCCTTACGAAAGCTTCTGTTGTATGTAATATTGTACATTTCAATCCTTAATAATATTGACTCTCAAGGGTGTCATCCTTGCAAGTGGGTGTAGGTCTTAACGGACAAAACCAGTTGTTTAAATCTCGTGTTATCTCTTGCATATACTGTTTTTGGTACATATTTAAGTTCTGTCCAACATCTCGAATTGTTGATAATCACTTGTATATTCACTGTTTTGACTAAATAATGGTTGGAAAATTATTGGGATTGATCTTGATTTCATGACATATATTATTAAATTAACATATTTTCTGTATCCCATTCTTCCTATATAGTTTTGTTTGATCACRTATCGACAGGTTATTTAACAGCCACTTGATTTTAACGTTAGTCACCTAACACTCAAAACAAAACAACCCATAGACCATTTAGAGAACCGTTTCTATTTGTTTTTGTAATTTTTAAATAGAGAACGATAAGGTTGACCAAACGGCGCTTCGATTATTTAAAATAATAAAAAATAAAATACAAACCAACTGCTCCAATAAATTAGACCTTTCTTGAACACTCTCTTCCAATGGGCTCTATCAGTTTCTACTTTCATCCTTTTTCTCTCTCACGGACTTCAAATTTTCTTTGGATAAACACTGATTTGTATTAATCCCCTTTGGTTCCGCACTCTTAATCTTTATATTAATCTAATTTTCTTCATCTTCAATCGCACTCGCTCAAATTTTCTTTGGATAAACACCGATTTGATTTCCCCAGAGATCTTCATCTTCTTCTTCTCAATCTCCGCAGCCGCTCCAATGCTTCAGCTGTTCTTCGCAGTCGCTTTCTCGGCAGTGCCATTGACGCTGTACGTGCCGCCGATTCGGAGCCTCAATCTCTTCGTCGAAACCCTAGAGGATCTTCTTCGTCACACTGCCATTCATACGCTCAGAGTTTATCCTCGGTTTCGCATCGCCTTCTCTCGCCTCTTCCGCTCCGTCTTCAGCGCCTCCTATTCTTGAGGTTTGATTCTTGAGATTCGATTGTTCGTATTGTTTAATTTGTGTTTGGAATCTTGAATTTCTGTTCGCTGTTGTATATGGAAGTGCGATTTTGCTTTGTAATTAGTCGCGATTCTGGATTTAGGTCTCCTTCTTCTCTGATTCTGTTCCCGATCTTATTTAGAGCTACAGATATATTCCCGATTCTCTGTTTTTTCTTACTCGTAATTATGCCATGTGGATGCGATTTGTTTAGCAGATTCATGAAAGCGATTCAATTAACGATTCAAATTTGTGCAAATTTTCTTGGTTTCTCACTTTGATTTTCCGGCCTTTCCAAAAGGCAAGATGCAAGAACAGGGAAGCTTCCTATCAATTTCTTCCTTGGAGAAAAAGACAATATTATATATATATATATATATATATATATTGAATGGCATTATAAAAGAATGTATATCTAAATAAGTAGTTTTATGTTTTTGTGAAAAGAATGTCTTTCATTTTCTTAAATGTTGGGATTTTTTGTTTCTGTATTTAAATTCAAAGTGGATTGTTTTAAAACATGAGGCTCAAATTCTATGGTCAACTTTGGAATTCAATTCATATTGGTATTTTAAGTTTTACACTTCAAAAAGAGGATTAATCATTTTGATAGCTTTGCAAAAAAAAAAAAATAATAATAATAATAAATAAATAAATAACTTCTATTTTAATTTTCTTTGTTTATTGGCAAGACAAGCATATTGTAGTGTAGCAGTAATTGACATAAGATTGTGAGTTCGATTATCACTCCCACATTTTGTRCTAAAAATTTATTTTGTTCATTGCAAATCTGAGCTCGRTTCAACGGATTAAGATATTTATGTCCGACTTGAATGTCATGAGTTTGAATCTCTCCACTCTTATATGTTCTACTTAAAAAAAATATTTTGTCATTGTTATTATTCTACTRYCTATCCAACCAATATCTCATTATCAATTATCAATACAACGTACTTATTTTCACTAACTTCATTATCCATCGTGTGAATCAAAATAGTTATTCTTTTAAAAGTTTAAAGATTAAAATTGCTCATACCTATTTTCACAACTTCATTATCGTGGGAACCAAAATAGTTATTCTTTTAAACTTTTAAAAGATTAAACATTTCGAAAAAGTTCAAAAATAATATCTTTTCCAAATATATGGTGTAAATAAATAAAAAGTTTATGAAACCTAATATAAAATTATTATTTTTGTTATATAATCATGAGTATTATTGAAAGTGAAAATTGAAAATTGTGAATGTATACGATTATGGTTAATTACTCATATTTTAATTAATGATGTGTTGTTGCTATTTAAATGATTAAACAAACTATAGACTATATACTTATTGGTGAACTTTACTGACATGATTATGTAAAATAATTAATTTGAGATGTCATCAGTATGATTATGTGAAATTAAATTTTCTTAATCAATTTTTGGTTGAAAATTCAAATAAGATAGATGTTGAATATATATGCATGTAATTTTAATTTTGGTTGAGTAACCATTTTCCCAAGTTAAAAATGATTTTTGCAAATTAGAGATGGACCCTTGTTACTTTTTTTCTTTAGTTTCTCTCTTATTATCTCTCTTCTCTGCCCAAATCTCGAAAAAACAAAAAAACCTCTCTTCTCCTCCTCTTTGTTTCTTTTCTTTTTCTCTCTCCTCTCTACTCCGATTCTTCATCTTCCCTACTTCTCTCTTCTGTTAAATTTCTATTAATTAAATTTGAGTACAAATTATTTTCACAATTCAATTTTGATAAAAACAACACATCCCTGCAATTTCTCCAAACTTGCATAAAACCCTTAATCTTTTCACTGTTAATACCAAAATCAAAAAGATCTCCGAACTCACCTTGATTGGCACTAGAAATATAGAGGCAGTTGAATGGTAAAGATCTAGACGATGAAATAGGATCTAAGGGTTTGGTTTTAAAAAAAAAATCAAATCAAATACCCCAACGAGACGGCAGCCAATGGCGACAGTGGCGTCACCTTGAAAAAGGAAAATAGAGCTGGCTGTTGGGGTAGCGCTCTCGATCTCGCTCTCGCTTTCGGTTAGATCTCGCTCGGTCAGATCTCACTCTCGCTCTTGCTCAATCAACTCTCACTTGAGCAGATCTAGCTCTCGCACGCGCTTTCACTCAGAACAAATCGGAAGTAGTAGGTAGTTAATAGTCGGGCGGCAACAGCGATCGAAGCGGAAGGAGTGAGAGAGGTAGAGAGCAAGAGAAGCGGAGGGCAGTGGTAGATCCAGGATTTAACATTAGCGGGGGCACAAATGTATATAACCATAACGTAGAAATATCAATTTTAAACCTAAACTTGGCTATGTATATTAATGTATATATTRCACTTAGATAAGTATTGTAATTTTTCACCWGTATCACAAATTTTACCCTTCAATCAACTTTCATTTGAAAAATTATCAAACTCTGTTTCATGGGGTGGGGGCATGCTTACAAGTTTGGTAAGAAGCTACCAGGCCATGGACCATTTCATTAAGAAATATGTATACTATATTTTATTTAACCAAATTCGGGGATAGCAGTATTTTCTTATGATGACCTGRTTTGTYGACCACCAGATCCGTTRGTCTRGGGAAAGAACCCAAAAACAATAATAGGAGTCTCGACACAAACARCCCTTTCCATTGAAGTAGGGAKGRCATCCTTCCCCACCATTCCGGCCTATTATTGATAGGGATTTGACCCGATCCCCACATGGATCCGCTCGTGGCGAAGGGAGTGAGAGGCGATAGTTTTGAGAGAGTGTGGAGGGAGTAAGAGRGAGGCGCTAGTGTGGACTTTTAGAGAGAGAGAGGAGGTGTGAGGAAGAGAGAGGAAAATATTAAAGAAACATCATCTTATTTTTAAGTAGAGAAAGTGTGGCTCCTTTTATGAAATATCCTCATAAATTTTGAAGTTTTTTTTCTTCGATTCTAAATATAACCAAGCTGCATTTCATAGAATCGAACCACATATCATATTCTTGTTTGTGATAAGTAAGATTTTTTCGTTTGGCATCTTATCCCATTTTAAATGATAACGTGTTATATATTGATAAGTTTTTTTTAGGGTTTCAAAATGAGTGTTTAGCCAATAGTTTTATAGAGACAACCAATTTTGTTCATGATTTTGGAAAAAAAATCGAGAAAGAAGGAGAGAGAAGGAGAAGAAAAATAAGGAGAGAGGAAGAATGGTAGCTATTTTGAAGATATCAATACACACTTGTGAAACAAAATCTGGAAAATGAAGGTAGAAAGAAATGGAAGAGAGAGAAGAAGATGATGAAAAATGGGAAGGAAGAGAAGAAGAGAGATTTTTTTTTAGATTGAGGTGAGAAGAGAGATAATAAGAGAGAAATTAAAGAAAAAATTAATAAAGCTCCATTTGTAATTTCACAAAAACACATCTTCGCACGCGCTTTCACTCAGAACAAATCGGAAGTAGTAGGTAGTTAATAGTCGGGCGGCAACAGCGATCGAAGCGGAAGGAGTGAGAGAGGTAGA